CACTCACCTCAGCCTCCCAAAGTGCTGGGATTACAGGCTGAGCCACCGAGCCCGGCTCCGAGACCCTTTCTTCCTGAATCTTTTATATATGTAGGTATATATATATATTTATTTATATTTTTTTGAGCTGGAGTCTCACTTCGTCACTCAGGCTGGGGTACAGTGGCACACTCACGGCCACCCCAGCGATCCTTCTGCCTCAGCCTTCCAAGTAGCCAGAACTACAGGCGCGCACTACCATGCCCGGCTAATTTTTTCATTTGTTGTAGATACGAGGTCTTGCCAAGTTGCCCAGGCTGTTCTCGAACCCGTGGGCTCAGGCAATCCTCTCCCCTCGACCTTCCAAAGTGCTGGGATTACAGGCTTGAGCCATTGTGCCTGGCTGTGTATTTATTACAGCGTTGAGGGGTGCAGGCGAGGATTTGCTACATAAGTGGGCTGCATGCAGGTGCCCCTGTCCCCCCAGTAGTGGACCAGCTTCCCTTTGTGTTATCACATTCCCTCCACCCTCCGTCCCTCCCTCCACCCAGCAGTGCCTAGTGTCTGCCGACCCCACCCTTGTGCTCATGTGACTGGTGTTCGGGCCCGCTTATGAGTGAGAACATGCGGTATTCGATTCTTTGTTTCTGTGAAAATTCACTTAGTACAGTGGTCTCTAGCTGCAGCCACGTTGCTGCAAAGGCCATGATTTTGTTGTTCTTTAGGGCTGTGTAATACTCCGTCGTGCATATGTACCGTATTTTCTCTTTTTTTGGTCTCCGTCACCCAGGCTGGAGTGCAGTGGCACGCTCAAGGCCACTCCCGCGTTGTCCCCCCCGGGCTCTGGCGATCCTTCCGTCTCAGCCTTCCAAGTAGCCGGACTATGAGCGTGTGTTACCACGCCTGGCTGATTGTTTGATTTTTTATCATAGAGATGAAGCCTCGCCAAGTTGCACAGGCTGGTCTTGAACCCCTGGGCTCAGGCTATCCCCTCACCTCGACCTCCCAAAGTGCTGGGATTACAGGCTTGAGCCACCGTGCCCAGCCACCACATTTTCTTTATCCAGAGAGATACTTGCCCATGCATGTTTATTGTACTGTTCACAAGAGCAAAAACATGGAACCCGTGCGGTTGCCCATCTTTCTGAATCTTCTTGGATTCACTTGACCGTCTTCTCTGGGCACCCTGCAGCTCGTTGCCCATGGTGGCCCATTCCCCATCAACCTTCCACAAGCAGTTCATCCTGTATTCTTTTGCCCTAAAAGTCAATGTCATCGGGGGCTCCTTTAACCTGATTCCTCCAGGGAGTCAGCACTGCCGTCTCTTCTCTGCCAGGAAGAGCAGCCTGGCTGCTCTTAGCATGCTGGCGCGAGGGGCTGAGTCATTCAGCAGATCTCACTGAGCAGCGACTCCGTCCCCAGCCCTGCCCGGAGCTGAATTGTCAGGAAGTTTCAAGCGATGGGGGGCCCACAGGCCTCCTGGCCCTCCGTGTCCTGGGCGGGCTGCGTCCCACGGGGACTGTGGGTGCCAGCCTGACTCCTCGCCGGTGATTTCCCAGCAACTAGGCATTGAACTAGGGTCATTCCCGGGAAACCTGAGAGCTCTCCGCCGGGCGGCTCAGCCGTCAGAGATGCCGCAGCTTCCCCTGCGGGGTGTGGGTTGGAGCCAGGGACCTCAGCCAGGCACATGCAGCCATGCAGGGAGGGAAGGTCACGGTCCTGGGTTCAAAGGCCCTCCGTGGTCTTGGGGCCCGTTGCTGCCGATTTTCAACTGGACTCCAGTCGGGGGCTCCACGATGTTCCCACACAGATGAAAGACCTGACTGGGTGTGGTGTCTCATGCTTGCAATCCCAGCACTTTGGGAGACCGAGGCGAGAGGACCACTTGAGGGCAGGAGTTTTCTAGCCTGGGCCACATAGCAGGACCTGGTCTCTACTAAAAAGTCGAAAAGCTAGCTCGGGTGTGGCGTGCACCTCTACTCCCAGCGACTTGGGAGGCCGAGGCAGGAGGATCACCTGAGCGATGGAGCCTGTGGTGAGCCATGATTGTGCCACCGCATTCCAACCTGGGCAACAGAGTAAGACTCCGACTTAAAAAAAAAGCAAAAGCCTTATTTCTCAACGACACCTCATAGTTGTGGGTGTTTCCTGGTGCACTGGAATTGGGCTCAGTGTGGTGTCAGGGAAGCCGGGGGTGGGTGTGTTGTAATCTGGCTTTGGTCTTAATTTCCCCTTTCCATGGCTCCTGGGTCTGATTTCTTTCTTCTTTTTTTTTTTTGCGTTGGAGTTTCATTCTGTCGCCCAGGCTGGAGTGCGGTGGCACGCTCATGGTCACCCCAGCATTGACCTGCTGGGCTCCAGTGATCCTTCCGCCACAGCCTTCCAAGTAGCTGAAACCACAGGCACATGCTACCACACCTGGCTAATTTTGATGTATTATGGAGACAAGTTCTCACCAAGTTGCCCAGGCTGGTCTCGAACCCCTGGGCTCAGGCAATCCTCTCACCTCGGCCTCCCAAAGTCCTGGAATGACAGGCTTGAACCATCACGCCTGGCCCTGATTTCTTAAAAAGTACAGTCTGTCCTTTCTGGGCCTGACTTCCTGGTCTAAACACAGTTGCCTGCCTGGCCAGGAGAAGTCTCACATGAGTGACCCCGGCGACCATATCATCACCTCTAGCACACAGCAGAGGCGACCTGCCGCTCAGAACTGTGAGGCAGAGACCTCATTGGAGGTGGCGCTTGCCTTCCAGAGAGAAGGGACAGTGGCTCTGAGCACAGGCCTCACTTCCATGCTCCTGGGAGACCCTAAGGAGGCAGAGTTCCTCCCAAGTGGCGACACCGAATCTCTCTGAAGGTGGCAGAGTGGAATGCGGAACCCAGTGGCTCCGGCGGGAGTGCAGCTGTGCGCTGCTCGAGGTGTTTGAGTACCATCAAGGCACAGGGTCCCCTCAGGTGTGGCTGGTGGCCGTACCTTCCTTTGGGGTCAGGCAGGACTGTCCTGTGTCTCCGTGTCCCTCTCCGCCCTTCTTGGGCCATACAGCCTGTCTTCTGAGATCTGGGTCCTCGGGGCCTGTCAGAAGTGGGCAGAGGTGCTGGGGGTGGAGGGGCCGACTCTGTAGCCCCTGTCGACTGAAACTAAGGCTGCGGAGGCAGAAATGATTGGATACAGGTTTATTGGAGGCCAGAAGTGAGGACTGACCTGGGAAGACACATTGACAGAGTTGAGCATGTCCCAAAGTCTGTCCCAAGTCGGAAGACTTTCAGAAGAAAGTTTAGGAGGAGGGAGGGGGTGCCTCATATCTGAGTTGCCTGTTTTTTTTTTTTTGAGTCGGAGTCTCACTCTGTCGCCCAGACTGGAGTGCAGTGACATGCTCACGGCCACTCCAGCCTCGACCTGCTGGACTCCAGCGATCCTTCCAGCCTTCCAAGCAGCCGGAACTACTGGCGCGTGCTACCTCACCTGGCTAATTTTTTTATTTTATCGTAGAGATGAGGTCTCACCATGTTGCCCGGGCTGGTCTCGAACCCGCGGGCTCCGGCAGTCCTCTCACCTCGGCCTCCCTAAGTGCTGGGATGACAGGTTTGAGCCGCCGCGCCCGGCCTGAGTTGCCTTTTCATCGGAGAGGTGGCAGACATTGGCTACAGATCACAACATACAGGCTGAAACGTT